GACAAACCTGTATATCAATTTAAGGAAGCTATTTTTATATAATTATAAAACTCAAAATAACTCATTAAAATAAATAATATTATAAGCAAAATAATTACATAGAAAAGATACTCGATTAGTTGTCCTTGATGATTGAACCTTGGATAGTAACTTCTACTTTAGATGTCTCTTCATAATTCTCATCTAGATCCACAACACGATCACCGACACTACTACTTGATGAAACATGACTGCTCTTGTTGAACTTAAACTTGTTTTTTTCTTGAATATATGACACCTTAAAGGAAACAATGAACGCATATTAGAAAAACATATATGAAAGACCAAAAAAATATAAATATACAAATTCAACTATTTATTAAAAATGAATTATAATTAACCTATGCAAACCAAACTAATAACTTAATAACCCATTATTTCTTTAATTTCAAAGTAACTCAATCCTCTAAATTTAGAGAATTATAATTCATAATACAATAACTATCAAACACTTCATAAGTTAAAAAATACTTAACCCCTAATTATTATCAATTCCACACAAAATAAAATGTTCTCAATTTTCAACTAAACCATAATATTGACAAAAAATTTTTGATACCCAACTAACTACCTATTATTTATTCAATTTAATAATAAATAAAACCAATTAATACCATAATTATTATCAATTACACATTAATTTTACTAAACCCTAAATTCTCAACAAAACCCTAAACCCTAAATTAATGAATTATCCATAATTTCTTCAATTCAAATTTATTTAACCTAAATTAATATATTTAATTATTATCAATTTCACACAAAATTATTATTTTTTAAATTCTCAACTTAACCATAAAATTGATAAAAAAAATAAATGGTACCCACTAAATTACTCATCATTTCTTCAATTCAAACACACTTAAGTTACAAAATCATGTTTAATTTTATCAAGTAACAAATTAAATATTTTTAAAAATCTTAAACAAAGCCTAAAATACAAATTATATGTTAAGACAAGAAAATTATCATTATAAAACAAGTAAAACACTTAAATATATAAGCAAATCATAAATACTATAGATAAATATCAATAATCTAACTTAAAACATAAATAAGTTAAAACAAATGAGTGGATTTGCTTACTCGGTGGAGTGAAGCTTAACAAGAAACGAAATCAATGAAGGGACATTTAAGCTTTTGAAGAGATGTTGAATCGATGATAGGTTGTGATAGTTGGATATTTTTAGGGAGATGCTCGCATGGTTACGGGGCCTGGGAGGAAATGGAGGAGGGTTCGGGGGCTTCCCCAACCTGAAAAATTCCTAGGATTTTTTCAAAAATCAACCGACCTGCATGAAGGCTAAACTTGAAAAGTTGTGCAGAAAATAATTTTTAAATTATTTTTTTAATGGGGGTGACAAATAAAACCTAGTAATGTCAACGCTTGATAGGGCTGTTATAACTTGTTCAGAAAGAAGAAGAAGAAATGTGTAGAGGAGAGGAATGATAGGTTTTTTTTTTTTTGTCTTTCAAAATCACCCAGAATTCATATAGGTAGTGTGACACTTCAGCAATTCCAATTGAATTACTAACAAAATTATTCTATAGCAGTTTCTGTTAATAACCACGATGAATATATTTTATTAGTGATTCCATTGCTTTTCTCTAATTTTCTATTAGCCGTCACTCCTCTCTCATGTCATATAGAAAATAAAATTTAAAACCAAAATATAAATATATAGAACTACATGGATCAAACATAAAAATTTTAAAAAATGCAAAATTAAAATATGTGTTTTTTTTTCCTCGCAAAAGTCCTCTTTTAGTATATACTGTAATGTAATTATTGAAACTGGGAATAACTGAAGCTTGTCCTGTGGAAGGGGGTGGAGGAGTACAGGTTGTGTTGGAAAATAAGACTTCTTCTTTGGAGCAATAACGTTTATGAACTATTTGAGAAATTAACGAACTCGATTAGCATATGAAGACAACATAGACAACATTGGCTGGTTTTATGCCACACACAAATTAAAGCGCAACTGACAGCTTAATTTTATCAACCCTGTCATATAAACTGAAGTAGGAATTTCTTCTGGTCTGCAGCCCTTTTTTTTTAAAATTAATATGGGTATTCGGGTTAGCTTGCGCGCGCCACGACTATTCCTACGAGTTCTAAAGTTAACGACCATGTCAGCCTTTAGTGGCTATCATATGAGCAATCAAGAACTCGAATTTGAAACCACAGAAGGAGCAAACCCCTTGATCCCAAGTTCTTACCATTTGACCACCTCCTAAATGGTTGCTCTTTTTAGTCTAACTATAGTTAAATTACTCAATTTTAGTAAAAAAATATGGGGGTTATATGCACCAAATAACTAATTCAATCCAATAATTTAAGTTATTAGTTAAACTATTAAGATATCATTTCTATTATTTTCTAATACATCTTCTCAAATAAAAATTTTTTAGATTTAAAATTTATATATGTCCATGATACCTTGTGCTTAAATAAATAAAGATGATAAAATTCAAATTCGTGACCGCTTGGTCATTAAATTCAACTCAATAGCTATAATTTATATTATTCTCTAACACATTTACTTAAATAAAAATCTTTTAAATTTGAAACTTGCGCATGCTCATACTATTTTATGTTTAATGTTCATTAAATATATGGAGATGGTAAGATTCGAACTTGTATTTTAAATAATAAATCTTATTTAATAGCTTAAATTATAAGATAAAATCTTAGAATATAATTTATATTATTTTCCGGTATAATCATTCTAAATATCTTAGAAAAAAGAGAAACACTAGCACAAGTTGAGTTACAATTCATTAGTGGTGTTGATCAGAATCTACCATGACTTAGAAGAATATAACACCACTTCGATATGTCTAGGTGAATATTGAAAATCTCAACGAACTTAGTGACTGCTAATTTCACTTTTCTAGTAAATGAAAAACGCCATCATCATCAATAATTGAGAAGGAAAAAAAAAAAAAAACCCTTGTTGACATTCGTTGTGCCCACTTTATTCCTAGCTTTGTGTCTAATTATTATTGCGACCACTTGGTTTGATATTTTAAAAGTATGCATATAATAATATTATTCTGACCACTTGGCAAACATGATCAATCGTTTAGTAATGCCAAATATCATATCATTGTATTGGATCATGACAGATTCAAAGTTTTTACTAATCTTCAATGGGAAAAATTCAGACCCTTTAAATCATTTGTTCAGCACTATGTGAGCTGAGTTCATAATTCCCTCTGTTGTGGGCGCACCTTCCCTCTGAAGGATTCAAACAAGTCGTCACACATTTGCTACATTTCTATCCTTTTCAATACTGTTTTATGAAATGAGCACTGCTTTTCTTTTTTATTCGATGATTAGGAGACATTTTCAACTAGTAGACCAAATTAATGCACAATGGATATGTATTTGTTACGACATTGTAAGGCTCGCACAGGTCAACAGCACCGGAGAAACACAATTACAAGAGTGTCGACCATAAATTTGGACTAATATTGCAGTGCTCAGAAGCGTGGCTGGCCCAAGAGTAGAATATGCTTTGGTCAACCACAACCAAGGCAGTATTTTGTTGTCATGAACTACAACGCAAAACATACCTTGAAAAACTTCGTATTCTGTGGTGGTCCGAAAAACGACTGTACAGATACAAACTTCCGAAGAGATGTGAGTTGCTAGGGTTTGAATCTGCACTGGGTGGGCCTAAAGTTGCTCGTCAGAAGTCTTGATCAAATAATTTATCCACCATTTCATCATAGTTAAGAGGGAATGAAAGTCTTCTGCTATTTTTTTTTCAAAGGGACAAAATCATTAAGAGGATTATCCCGTGGAGAAACATTCTGGAAAAAACTAACATATCCAATGAGATTTCTCCCTTTTCAAACTAGCCCAAGAAAAGTGGACCTGGTAATCTGATCATGTGGATCATTGCAAATATTCAGTAGCATAAGTGGAAGCAGCTCTTATTCTTTGGGGCGAAAAGGATTAATGGAATCTTTTCATGGTTTTAAACTGATGTATATAGTATTCGTCTCTATATCTTGTGCTGGAAATATGATCAAGTTAATTTATGTTGAACAGCCACAGAAACTGGCCTTGTCAGGCATGGCAAATGCACCCAAAGCAGCTTCTAAAAGTTACTCAACTTGCAACTAAACTAGAACAGAAAGATCAGGGAAGTTCTTTGTCAAATAATGCCCTATCTAGTCCATACAGACGCAATGGATGACAAAGTAAAATACAAGAGAAAGTTCATACGGACACATGTTCTCTGCTTTTCTTTTGTTGTTATGCTCATACTCCCCCTTTTTTCCTTCTTTTTCAGTCATCATCATTATATCAAAGTCCACACTTTCTCTTCTCTTTATTTATTTTTTCTAACCTTTCTTGTGCTTCCCCCCCCCCCCATAATAACTGGTCTCCTCCAAGTCAACAAAAAGACCACACTTAAGCTCAATACGAAAATAAAGTAGGAAACAATAACAAAATTGCATGATTGCATAGCAATTGAAAGTTATAGCAAAGGACAATGACTTCACTTCCTTCATGAAAGAGGCAAACTAATTAATTTCTTTTGTTCCTTACACGCTCCTTAAAAATGGTGCTAGATACCCAAAAACAATCTAAGGGTGCCTCAAATTCATTTTCTCTCACTTCTCAAGAATCTGAGCAGTCAGACTGCAAGAATATCTTATGTCAAGTAGATTCATTTGGCCAAAAGATCTAGGGCAGGATTTACAGGTATTTTGGGTTATGAGCACATTTTTAAAAAAATATTGACAAAATAAAACAGATGAATTTTTTTTGGTTAAATAGTATAGTTTTTACGTGTTATAATTAAAAATTCATTAATTTTTTTCTAACTGTGATACTCTGTGGATATTTTAAATTTATTGGGCTATTTTTTTTTAAAAAAATAAAATTTACAGTGTTCTATAAAAGAGCATGCATGAAACCAGAGAGAGAAACTAGAGACGGAAAGAACAAGAAACCAGTAAAATTATTTATGACATTAATGGTAAATAATAATATGAGCTATTGAACTGTTCCGATTCTGATCCCACACTTTCTCTCGGCATAAATTGCTTTTCTACTATGTAATCTCTCCCTTGTATTGGTTTTTTTCTTCTCATGTCAATGGTATAGATGTTCATAAAAACTGCATGCAGTGAACTTGTAAGAACTTCGAGTTTGTGGGCCATTTTAGGACGAGAATACCTTCCTCAGATAACTTAATTAACACTCCAAATTGGAAATTTGACCTGATTAATTTAATAGGACGAAAGCATTACTTATCAAAAGTTGTAAAACATACTACCACTAATCTCCACCCAAGCTGATTATATTTTTTTGAAAATTTCCTTTGACATCAAATGCAGTAAATGGCCACTAACATTGTTATGCAGTGGTCAGCTCCTGCAATGATTGAGCATACCACTTAATTACTTTGTCTACTCAAGATATCTCAGTGCAAATTGTGAATTCTCAATCTATTTTTGACGAGGAAAATGAAATTTCATATCTACTATTCATGGGTCAATAAGAGAGTGAGAAAGAGAGGGGGAAAAAAAAAACACTTTATTTTCTACAAAACTCTTGAAAATAAGCCAGCGTATTCAGAAATGCACGCACACAGTCAAATTGATTCTCCCATGTTGATACTAGTATTCCTCCAAAAAAAAAAATAGAAGAAAAAAGCATGAAATTAACCTAAATAATTAATCTTACCTAATGGTAATATATAGTCCCCAATTATCAGAAAAACCACCAAAGAAACTGGAAAAAAAGAGAGAAAAGAAAATGGCTAAAGAAATTAATTAAAGACTTTACCATATATGATGAAAAGAGAGAGATCAAATTATACAATTGAACACAAAGATTTCCACCTCTCCCTCAAAACAATCCATAAACCATCGTCAATCCTTTTGACTTGAATAATATTCAAGAAGAAGAGCCTGAAACTCTTGGCGAGGTTACAGGAAAAAGTGACAACAACTGAGGCTCTGAGTCTCTTGGAGTAGATATAGGTGAGGGATGCAAGTAAAAACCTTTCTCTGCTATCGCTCTCTCCTCTTCTGATGAATTCCCTAAAGAAGGTGAGCTCTTGTTAAAAGGGTCTTCATTTAGTGGAGTCACAGGGCTAAGTGTAAGTCTAGGGAAGTCAAGCAAGCTTGGGGACAAGATCTCCGGTTTGTTTCTTGGTGAAAACCCGGTAACCGATGAAGAGTTACAGGTATTTGCAAAACTAGGCAATAAAGTGTTGATCATGAGACTGTTCTTGAAGCTGTTGTTTCTTCTTTCATAAAGTTTAAAGCTGTTTTGTTGTCTCTTGGGCATGTTCTTGATAGGAGGGATGTTGTAGCCCCTTGAAGTTTGAGTTGGTGTTGTTGGCGGATCTTGGGTTGTTTTTGAGGAGGCCTGCTTTGCTGTTTCTGTTGAGCCAGTGAGCATTTGGACAACTTGTTTGAAAGTAGAAGTGTCTGCTTGGACAAAGGTTGTTGGGTAAGGGTTAGTGTCAGATCTGGAGATGGGTATTGGAGTGAGTGGTGGGGCGTGAATCTGGACCCCATTGTTGCTTCCATTGCTACGAGGAGAGTTTATCGGAGATGGGTTTTTGGTTTCTTGAAATCTCGTGGAGGTTTTCATCGAATTTTACTGGGAGAGGGCAGAGGGCGGGGGGGTGTTATAATAACCAAGCTTAGCTAGCTCTTCCTCTTCCTCTCGCTCTCTTATTGATTTCCTCTACCACCACCACCACAACACCACCTCGAAAGAGAGAGGAGTTACCTTTTAAGAGTGGTGGTGGGTGGAAATATGGAATAGAAGAGTGAAAAACAAGGTTTGGAGAGAGAGAGAGAAGGTAAAAAGGGTTTGTTTCCTTTCCTCGCAATGTCTTCGTGTGCGTTGCTGTACTTAAAGGCAAAAAAATGGATATGTATGCATATATGGTTCGGCTGTTTTCACTAAAATAAAAAATAAAAAATTTCTAAGCTTTTTTATTTTTTTTTTATTTTTTTCCCCGGTGGGTGATCAGCTAATGGGCTATGGGCAGGGAGAAAATATACGCCCAACGGCGGTTTTGGGATTATAAAAAAATACGGGAAGGGTACTGGTTGTGTTTGGAATATTTGGGCAACAGCATCTGTGGCAAGCAAGTTTTTCTTGGAATCAAAATGTGGACAGGAAAGGATATTTATATACATATATGTGTGTGTGTGTGTGCGGGGCATTGACTTCAGAGCCCTGTCTGCAAGCAAGGAGGACTCTTGTGTGATGGGATTGGAGATGATAGCAACACCAACCATCCATCCATCCTTACATTAATTACGAAATCATGAATCCCATATGCCCGACTTTACCGTTCAGGGCATAGTTTTTAAACCCGGTCTGGTGGCTGGCCCGGTTCAAGGTCCGGGTTCCGGATTTTGACCGGGTCACCGGGTTTTGACCGGGTCGAACGGGTCGGCCGGGTCAATTTCTATTTTTAAAAAAATTCAAAACGACATCGTTTTAATAAAAAATAAATAAAAGTCAACGGGTTACCACCGGGTTTTGTCGGGTCGTCCGGGTTTCTGGGTCAACCCGCCGGGGCGGTCGGGC